AGGCATTTTCATCCACTGGTGTTTCACATACTGGCAATCTTGAGGTAACAGGGTGAGACATTGAATGCCACAAAACCTAGTTGCCAGTTTTATGCTGCTGAAATATTTCACAGATATGTTAGTTTGCAGATATTGTCCCTTCTGACATGGTGTTCAGTTCTGACAGGGCTGTGTGATTCATTAGTGCGTATCATAATTGGGAAGCCCAGACAGCTCACAGTTGTTAGTTGCTTTTACAAAGTGGTGTTGGTCATCTTAGAAGAATCTCAAATTTCAGAGATTTTATTTTTAACAAGGACCACGCTGTAGCAAAACCATGGTTACTACTGCTGAACTATCAGGACAGTTTTAATGAGTTTCTATACAAAAATAAGAAGCTTCCATATACAAATTCATGAACATATACACACGTGTGTAAGCTTTCCCTTCCTGGTCATAAGAGGCGTTTCAGTCTCTTAAGTTTTCTACCTCTATTCTAACCAAATTTTGTGTTGGGCCATCCTGAGCCAAACCCTGTGCGAAGTCCCAGAAAGACTTGTGTTGTTCCCAGTAATATCTCTCTATCAATCAGACTTCTAATGAATACAGATGCTTCTGTGTGATAGAGATCTATACTTTTAACTGTTGTGTTTTTTTTAAATCTCTGCAAAAACGACATTTTCATTTATCTACTTGACAGGTTAGGAGAAGAAATTCCTCTAGCAAAATTTTTCTTCCTTTCATCTGATTTACTTGTCTAAAACATTCCTACAGCCTTGATGCTTACCAGTTAATGCTAACTATTCAGAGAAGCATGAAACTTCTTACAATTTCATTTTAGTGTTCACTACAAAGTATAACTCTGGTTTGCATAGTAATTAATTAAATGTCTTAGTCAGTAATGGGGACATTTGGGAGTTCAAAGACAGCCATTCAACTTCTGCATTTACTGAGGAAAGGTGCTTTTAAATTTACTTATAAGACATCTCATTTAGCTCCAAGCTTTGTACTGACATGTAAATGGAGTATGAAGAGGAACAGTGTATAAGAAATATAAATTGTTCAGAATTTGAAAAACAAAACAAAACCCCAGCAATCTCTGGAGTATTGTAAAGATGTTTTATCCAATCCAAAGTCCAATGGAAAGAAGCACCTGAGTGCTCACATTTGTATACTCAGTAGGTAAAGAGCAAAGAAAGATCATAATGAACCAAAATCCCATTCTCTGCTGGAAGTTGTATTTATATCTAATGATGCTAAATCCTAACACCATTAAATATACATTGAGAAATTATTTTTCACATTTCACAATCTGTACAGACATTTAAAAAAACTTGCTGAAAAAACTTCCTTTGTTACAAATAGAAATATAAAGAGGGGGGATAAACAATTCTTGAGGTTTGGTTTGAGCCAGGACGAAGCCAGTTTTACTGATTTATTATTTTTTTTATTTTTTATTTTTTTCCCTTCAGTAAACTCTTCTAACTAGCAGCAAGTTCTCCAGCTACTGGACTGATAACACTGGAATGTTTATGTTACTCCTGAGACTCCGAGGTCACTGTGCTCTGCTGCCTCAGGGATGCTATTGGAGGCAGAAGAGTATCTGTAACCCCTGTAGGGAGGAGTGGACTAGAGGGACAGCAAATTTGACCAAAGTATTCCATTACCTATGTTTATGTAAGCTTGGTGTAAGCCCAGGGATCACGGAAGACAACTTCCTTCTTCCCTTCTCTTCCGTCCATGGCTGGCATTTGGGGACGACTCTATCTGTCCATCACCATTGATCCCTAGGCTTATGTGTTCCTGACCCTCATAACTCTCCCCTCAGCACCTGTCTACTCTTCTGCTATCTCTGGCAGTGGTCTGGGACATTTTGGGACTTCTCACAGCTCAGGAGATGCCATGGGAGTTGCTGGGGGGGGGGGGGGAAGCAGCAGGGTTTTGCACCTTCCTGAACATACTAGTATATATTTGTACATATTTTCTTCTATCATTAGTATTTAATTAAAGCTGTCTAGTTTAGTTTTAAATGCAGAAAGTCTCTCTCCCTGTTATCTCTCTCCTTTCCCTCCCTAGGGGAGGAGGGAGGGGTTTGAGAGGAATGTTGTTGCTGGTTCAGTTGCTGATCCTGAGTCAAACTGTGATATTGAGATTTATAATCCACTTATATAAGTTGAAGCTTGTTGTTTGCGTTTCATTTTCTGTTTGTTTTTTTTTTATTATTATTATTTTTGTTCCAAATATAATGATGTAATTTAAAGTAAAGATGCTGCTTTTAGGTGGAACTCTTGTCTCTTCTTCAGAATGGAAACTGTGTGGTTCACAGTTGGGAGACCCCCAAATGGTTTGTGGTTACTCAGCATTCTGGGCAACATGTAGAATTTAGTTTATTTAGTATTAATGGAAGAAGTACTGGGCCAGGTTATCTCTGAACCTTACAGAGCACAGATGTGCGATGCCTTTGAGTCAGTAGTCCACTGTCTGTCTGCTTGTCTGTACTCCTGTTGCTACTCTGTGGTGGTACAGAGGGGATTAATGAAGGGAAATGCACTAACGTTTACCATGTTTCCATGACTGTAGTTGAGAATTTGAGAGATTTTATACTTAACATTTCTGTATGGCAAACTGAATCTGCATGCTAGAACGTTTCATCTGGTGTGAGGTATTACTGACTAACTAGCACATTTGAAATATTTGCAGCACTGTGTCTCGTTTTGGGTAACAGAGAAGTCAAAAAGGAAGGCTTCTTAATGGTTTTAAGTGTACTAGTCCTGTGTTTACTTAACTACATTTCAGTTCAGATCTGTAACATCCTCAAGTCGATTTTGTGTCAAGATCACAGAATTGTTCTGGTTGGAGAAGACCTTTAAGAGTTCAACCAAAAACCTAACTCTACCAACCATTAACCTGACTTTGCCAAGTCCAATGCTTAAACCATATTCCTAAGTACCACATCTACATGTCTTTTAAACACGTCCAGGGGTGGTGACTCAGCCGCCTCCCTGGGCAAACCTGTTCCAGTGTTTAAATACACTTTCAGTGAAGAAGTTTTTCCTAATACCCAATCTGACAACTTGAGGCCATTTCCCCTTGTCTAATCACTTGTTACTAGGGAGAAGAGAACAACTTCCACCTTGCTACAACCTCCTTTCAGGTAGTTGTAGAGAGTGATAAGGTCTTCCCTCAGCCTCCAATTCTCCAGGGTAAACAACCCCAGTTCTCTCAGATGCTCCTCATAAGGCTTGTTCTTCAGACCCTTCACCAGCTTTGTTGCCCTCTTCTGGACTCGCCCCAGCACCTCAGTGTCCTTCTTGTAGAAGGAGCCCAAAACCAAACATACTACTTGAGGTGCAGCCTCACCAGTGCTAAGTACAGAGGGACAATCACTACCCTCTTCCTGCTGGCCACACTATTGCTGATACAAGCCAGGATGCCATTGGCTTTCTTGGCCATTTGGGCACACTGCTGGCTCATATTCAGCTGGCTGTTGACCAACACCCCCAGATCCTTTTCCACCTGGCACCTTTCTAACCACTCTTCCCGAAGCCTGTAGCTTTGCATGGGGTTGTTGTGGCCCAAGTGCAGGACTTGATATTCAGCTATTCAAAAGAAAGCAGAGATTTTTTTCTAACCATTTTAATTACCCATTTTGCATATATTTTATATTTATTGTTGTTGAGTATGTATTTCATGTGATTTCTGTTAGTAGTAAAGCATAGTATCTAAAAAATTACGTGTGATAAATCATGTAGAGGTACATACATAGGAGACGATTTTAAGACCGAGATTTTTACTATCTAACTTGTGTTTCTCTTGACTTTCTACTGTATGTTTTGCATTCACTTTTGTTGATTATTGAAAAGAAATAATTAAGATGGAGTGATGGCTGCAGCACAAAATAAAATCAGTTCATCAGATTAAAAAATACAGGCTGTGTGCCTCAAAACAACAAGAAGCAGAAGGGCTCATGGATGCCAGTAGCAGTTCTGGGATGAGGAGCAATATAGTCACTTCAGTGGAGCCCTCCCCTTGAATTCATTGCTTTTGTCAGAAGGTAAAACTTGGCTCACTTAGTTCTGTGTGTAGCTGATGTCAGTGAGCTGTGCAAAGTTGTGCTCATGCAACTGGAAGCAGGAATTTGTCTGTTCTCAACACTCAACCTTAGTAAACTTAGTACATGCAAAAATTCCTGCAAAATTCTTCTATTTTTTAAAGATGTTATAAACAGAAAAAAATGTTCTAATCCATATTTATTATGAATGTTTTTTCATAAACTTTAGTTGAGTTAGTGCTTCAGAGATCAGAAATAAAGTTAGGCTCTTCCCTTTGTTGACAAGGAAGAAGTTTTATGCTGATTTTTAAGGGATTACAGCCCTGCTTATTAACATTGAAATGTGAAATGCAATACCAGATCCTCCACATGTGTAGGAATTTTATAGTCTTAACTTTTCCTCGTGTATGCCTTTGTGAAGAGGCCTTATGCATATTCCAAGGACTGCAGCTCCGACTGAATTCCTGTTTTTTCCTTGCGCCGCCAAGAAATGGAGTAAATGATTCTTCTTAGTGCAGTTAGACCTTCAAGTAGAAATGGATAAATTGCATAATATATGTTCAAGGCAAGTATTGCTGGTAGCTTCCTACTGTTCTTGCTCTGAATGGAGTGGAATGCATGGTAGCCACCTCTCACATTTCTAGCACTGTGATAGTATAATTCTTCAAATTAGTATGAAGAGTTTGTGAAGCCCTAAACGTGTATTCAAAACAGCGTGAAAAGAGAGAACCGTGTTTGATCTTGAGCTATGAGTGGCGTATTACATTTCCATCAAGAAAGCGGGTATTAACTGAAATGTAAAATGAAAGAAGGTAATACCATTGTTGATATTGTACTGTAGAATCAATTTAATTTTGCAGAAATTATACCATTACTACTAGCAGTACTTCTGTCGTGTGGTATGACACCAGTGAAAGCCTTTATATAATGCCTTATATTTTTCTCTCCCTTATTACTTGTCTCTCCACAGTGCTGCATACCCAAGGTCCAATCGACGGCAGTCTGTATGCAAAAGTGAGAAAGAAAAGCTCTTCAGACAGCAGTATCCCTGGTGTTGCTCAGGGTGTTCCCATGACTGGCAGTCCTCATCACAGTGATCATACCCTGTCTGTCAGCAGTGATTCAGGACACTCAACAGCTTCCATCAGGACAGACAAGACTGAGGAGCGTCTTGTGCCAGGAGTCAAACGGGATCTGAGCCCGCAAGAGAAGGCAGAACTAGACCAGCTGCTTAGTGGCTTTGGTCTGGAGGATTCTGTCAGCACCACCAAGGATATGACTGAGGCTCGAAGCAAGTACAGTGGGACTCGCCACATAGTGCCAGCTCAAGTTCATGTGAACGGAGACAATAAACTGAAGGATAGGGAGACTGATATTCTGGATGACGAAATGCCTAATCATGACCTTCACAGTGTGGACAGCATTGGGACTTTGTCTTCTTCAGAAGGGCAGCACTCTATCCACCTAGGGAACTTGAGTTGCCACAAGAGCAGTCAGAACTCACTTCTTTCAGATGGCTTTGGAAGTAACACTGGGGAAGATCATCACAGTGCTTTTGCCCCGGATCTGGGAATTGGTGTGGATTCCCTTTATGAGAGATCATTTGGAAGCACTGAGCCAAAGTCAACTCAGCAATTGCAGCGGAATCCTTCTGTCCCACCCCAGTCTCAAGCTTATGGCCCAAGTAGCTACTCTACTCAGACCTGGGTATGCCAGCAGCAGATGGTCACTGCTCACCAATATGGTTTTACCCCAGAAAATGAAATTATAGTTGACATTCATAACACTGTGGTGAATTCAGGCAGTGTCCAAAGCCAGTCCCAAGTCCCAGACACCCCAACATGTGGCTCTGGTAGCAGAGATGCTGTACAGAGGGTACTAGGAAGTGTGCCAGATATTGCTGAAGCTGCAGAGCATGCCACTGCTGAGGGTTTTAAGTCAAGGCCAGTACCTCAGAGGGATACAAATGGCCTGGATCTAAGAGGGGATGTAGGGGATTTGCCAGCTTCTCCAACTTTGGATATTGATCAGTCGATTGAACAACTGAACAGGCTTATCTTGGAGTTAGACCCTACATTTGAACCTATCCCAACCCGCATTAACACTGTCATCAGGGACAGAAATCAAGTAAATGGCTTCACCAGCCTTGATGCAGATGTGGAAAAGCTTGGCAGAAGTCCTGGCTTCCATGACAAATTGGAGGCCACAGACAGGAATGTGTCCTGGCATGGTAAGCTGCTGTAATATTTTCTGATTGTATAATGCTTTTTAATGCTTTTCCTACTACTTTTGTGTTCTTGATATGGTACAGCAGGACCTCAGGTCATGACTTATAACTTTCAGGATAATGATTAAAGGGTTATTTCTGATACCCTCTTTACATAACCATCAGAGAGATTATAGAATCAAACTGATGTAAGATAAGTGAGTTTTGCAGCTACTTGTTTTTTACTGGAAAAGAAGTACTGTTCAGCAAATTATTTCCTGTTATAGATCATCATTTGGAATATTTTTTTTTCTGCTGTAAGATTGTCAGAAGGGAGCATAATTCCTGCAATTCCTACATCAAGACAGTTTTAGAAGACATCTATATTGAAATGGTTATGATTATATGCTTTTTATTATGATGATTTTTTATGATTGCCACATAAAGTAGGAGAAAAAGCTCCAACAAATTTATCTTTAAATTTAACATAACGGTGTTGGCATTAAATTCCTATCCAGTATTTTCATAAATAATATAATCTTTGCCACTAAAGTATTGTAAAACATACTGTTTCTGGAAGTTTTTTGTGTTGAAAAATTCAGAGGTCACAGTGCTTGCATGTGATCTTATGCTCTGATATGATCACAGACACCAACTGGTGTAATTAAGTATGCAACACTTGCTGAATGTATTGCCTAAGTAATGCTACTGGAACTAGCAGCTTTGCAACAGGATGAGTAGTCTGTCTCTGTTTAACCTTTCTTTAATGCTGTAGCTAAAATTTGCAGCAAACAAGGTCTTGCTGTCATGTTTGAAAATTGTGTGGTCTGATTCCTCTGGCAGAACATATCCCCATCCCTTCCTTCCCTCCATTTCTTCTTCTTCTTCTTCCTAGCTCTAGTCTTGGTGCAATGAAAGACTTGCTTTTGTCTCCAGGATTTGAGTCAGTATCAGCTGACATGCTGGAATATATGTTTGTGGCCTCATTGGACACAAATGAGCTGGTGCAGCTCAAGCCCAGGTGGATATGCCAAAACATTCAGTGATGACTGTGTCTAACTAGTGTGTGGTTTCCATTAATGTGCAAGCCTATGTGATCAAGGATGGTGATTCTTGTAGAGAAGGTGGAATCACAATTTTGTATTTAGGAGGGTAACTGAGGACTAAAGAGGTCCATAAATACAGGTATATACATGAGCTGCTTAACTGCTTGTTTGTTTTTAATACATGGTATACGTTTTGTGGCTCTTACAGGATTGAATTATTTAGTTTGTAATTCTCTGTTTTTTTTCTTTCCAAGTTATTAGCTGATGAACAAAATGAGTATGATCTTTTTCTAGCTGGAGAGAACTCTTCTCTTTGGTATACAGTGAAGCTAGTGAAGGGCATAAAGGGGACATTTAAAGTAAGCAACCTTTTACAATTCTTTATTTAAAGATAGGAATCTGAAAAGAGTTATTTGAATTCTTCTCACAGGTTCTGGTCGTCTCCCAAGGGAAGCAGGAGTCACTGTCAATTCCCTTCCATTTGTGAAGTCAGGTAAAACAGGTAAACTTCCTGCCCTAATAATAAACACTGGTATGAATACGGGTTCCAATGAGAATAAGGGTCCTGGTGGCATGTTCTGGAAGAGGATTTTCTTTAAAGATAGTGATGAATTTGCAACCAATAGGCAGCATTTAGAATGCTGGGTAATTTGGGGAGTGGGGTTGCACAGCAACAGGGCATAGTATTAATGAGGAAAGAGTTTAGGAGTCAAGAAGCTTCTTTGCTTTTTTAATGCGCTTGCCTTTGTCAAAGGATTTTTCTCTCCATCAGTCGGAGCAAAGGAAAAGGATGATAAATGTTTTTCCATTTGTTTTTTAAACCTCTCAGAAATATTGAACATTCTTACAGGATGTTTACATCATCCTGAGCTTCAAACATTGTCATATGCATCCCAGTGGTTAATCCACTTCCAGTTCAAGTTCTTTCCAATGCATTTAATTAGACATAGAGTGTATGTCTCTAAAATCAGAGATGTGGTAAGCACAATTTGTATGCTGAAAGTGGTATTTAACTGCTAGTTGCTATCAACAGCAACTCTGTTTCTTACATTGAGTTTTTGTCCTGTGAAAAAAATCAGAGAATCAGAGTCCTTGAGGTTAGAAAAGACCTCAAGAGATTATCTGGTACATCCCCCCTGCTGATCACCTACTGTGAGTTGGCCAGGACCATGTCCAGATTTTTTTATTTACTATCTCCTATTTGCAGCCACCTCCTTGAGCCAGTGCTCAGTCACCCACGCAGTGAAAAGTTGTTTCCTGATGTTCAGAGGGAACTTCCTGGTGTTCAGATTAGTCAGGTATGATTTGTCCTTAGTGAAGCCATGTTGGCTGTTGCCTATCACCTCCTTATTTTCCATGTGTTTTAGCAGGTTTTTCAGGAGGATCTGCTCCATGATGTTGCCAGGCACAGAGGGGAGAGTGACCGGCCTGTAGTTGCCTGGGTCTTCCTTTTTCCCCTTTTTACATACATGGGCTATGTGACCTTTCTACTTCACCAGACCACCATGACCTCTCAAATCTGATGGACAGGGACTTAGCAACTGCATCTGCCAGCTCCCTCAGGACCTGTGGATGAACCCCATCAGGTCCCAGGGACTTGTGCACCTTCACGTTCTTTAGATGGTCACGAACCTGTTCTCCTCCTACAGTGGGATGTGCTTTGTTCTCCCAGTCCTTGCTTTCACCTGCTGTGGCCTTTGTGATGACCATGCTGCATGCATTTGTATAGAGGCTTTTAATCTAGGCCTCAGGTACCTGATTAGCTGGAGGGGCTAGGATTTCATTATATCACACTCCGGGTGCTCCCCTGCTGACCTGAACCCCTTCCTAAGGCTGTGGGCATCTATTGCTGATGCCAGCATAACACTGACATTGATTGGTATGGGATGAATGTATGTTCACTCCCCCCAGCCATATCAGTTCAAACCCCTCTTCACCAGCTTGGGTAGCCTACAGCCAAAGATGCTCTTTCACTTTTCTAACAGGTGGACCCTATCAACCCTCAGCAGACCAGGTTTGTCAAAGCTCGTCCCCTGATTCAGGTAGACAAAGCCCTGGCTATAGCACCAGTTACGTAGTCAGCTGGTGATCTGCTGGATCCGATTTGCCCTATCCCCAGTAGGACTGATAAAAATACCTCCTGTGCTCTAGAGTTCTTAACTGCTGCTCCCAGGGCCCAGTAATCCTTTTAAATATTCTTAGCAGTGCTGGTGGCTGCATCTGTGGTCCCCACATGAAACACCAAGAGTGCGTAGCAGTCAGACGGATTAACAAATTTAGGAAGCCTCTCAGTGACATCCCTGATGCATCCCTGATGCATCCGGTAGATAGCAGACCTCTCCAGAGAGAGTGGTCTGGTCTCGTCTGCAAACAGGTGCAAACAGGCCAAGGTGCAGGACCTTGCACTTGGCCTTGTTGAACTTCATGAGGCTGGCATGGGCGCACCTCTCCAGCCTGTCAGGGTCCCTCTGGATGGCCTCCCTTCCCTCCAGCGTGTCAGCCACACCACACAGCTTGGTGTTTTGGGCAGACTTGCTGAGGGTGCACTCAATGTCACCGTCCATGTCGCGGATGAAGATGTTAAACAAGATTGGTCCCAGTACTGAGCCTTGAGGGACACCACTTGTCATTAGCCTCCAGTTGGACCCACTGGCAGCTACTCTTTGGGTGCGGCCACCAAGCCAGTTCTTTATCCACAGAGTTGTCCATCCATCAAACCCATATTTTACCAGCTTGGAGACCAGGATGTCATATGGAACAGTGTTAAAAGCCTTGCTCAGGTCCAGGTAAATGATGTCAGTTGCTCTTCCCTTGTCTATTGATGTTGTGACCTTCTCATGGAAGGTCATCAGGTTTCTTAGGTACAATTTACCCTTGGTGAAGTCATGTTGATTGTACCCAATCATATTCTTCTGCCTCAGCAGTGCCTCCAGGAGGATCTGCTCCATGATCTTACTGGGCATGGAGGTGAGACTGACTGGCCTATAGTTCCCTTGTTCATCCTTCTTTCCCTTTTTGAAAATGGGGATTATGTTTCTCCTTTTCCAGTCAGTGAGGACTTCACTGGACTGCCATGACTTTTGGAATATAATAGAGTGGTTTAGCAACCTCATCCACCAGTTCCCTCATTACTTGTGGGTGTATCTCATCAGGTCCCATGGACTTGTAGACTTTGAGGTTCATCAGATGGTCACGAACCAGATCTCCACTTAGAGTGGGCAGCTCTTTCTCCCAGGCTCTTCTATTATCTTCTTTGACTCCAGGAGTGTGGTTGGAGCCCTTGCCAGTGAAGACTGAGGTAAAGAAGTCATTGAGAACCTCGGCCTTCTCCATATCACTTGCATCCAGTTTCCTTTCTGAGGGGTCCCACACCTTCCTTAGTCCTCTTTATTCATTACTATACCTATAGAAGGTTTTGCTCTTCCCCTTTATGTCCCTGGCTAGATTTAACTCTAACTGAGCTTTAGCTTTTCTAACCAGTTCTCTTGCTGCCCTGACAGCCTCCTTATGTGCCTCCCATTCTAGCTGTCCTTTCTTCCTCTCCTTGTAAAGTTTGGGTTTGTGTGACAGTGTGTCCAGGAGCTCCTTGCTCATCCAGGCAGGTCTCCTAGTATTTTTTCTGCCTTCCTCTTTGTTGGTATACTTTGCTCCTCAACAAAGGAGATAATTCAAGGTGGTCCTTGAATACTGACCAGCTGTCCTGGGTCCTCCTTCCCTCTAGGGCTTTGTCTCATGGTACTTTGGCCAGCAGAACCCTGAAGTGATCAAAGTCTGTGTGCCTAAAGTCCAGGGTCATAAGCTTAGAATGCTTCCTCCTAGTTGCCCTGAGGATACTCAATTCTAGTGCTTACTGGTCAATGCAGCCAAGGTTATCCCTCAGCCTCAGGTTGGTCACCAGGCCTTTCCTGTTGGTGAGAACAAGGTCCAGCATGGCACCTTTTCTTGTTGGTTCATTTACCATTTGGAGGAGAACGTTGTCATCTGTGCATTCCAGGAACACCCTAGATTGCTGGTGCCTTGCTGTGTTGTCCCTCCAGCAGCATATGTTAGGGTGGTTGAAATCCCCCAGGAGGACAAGGACCTGTGAATGCTAAGCCACCTCTATCTGCCTACAGAGGGCCTCGTCTGCTTGGTTCTGCTGATCAGGTAGCCTTTAGCAGAAGTCTACTGTAACATCACCTTCTCTTGTCTTCCCTTTAATCTTAGGCCCATATGCTCTCAACCAGCTCATTGTCCTTCCCTAGATGGAGTTCCATTTATTCCAGCTAGCTGCTGAAGTAGAGGGCAATAACTCTTCCCCTCCTACCTTGCCTGTCATTCCTTAAGAGCTTGTATCCATCTATCCCTACATTCCAGTCATGGGAATCATCCCACCAAGTTTCAGTAATAGCCACTATGTCATAGGTTTTTAGCAGCACAGTGGCCCTTAATTCATCCTGTTTATTGCCCAAGCTTTGTGCATTCATGTAGAGGCATTTCAACTGGGCTGGCCGTGTCACCCTCTTGTGCAAATCTCCCTTGATTTCCTTGGGGTGTTCTAGTGCATCATCCCTGCCTTGCCTCAGGGCAACAAGTTGAGAGCCCTTAGTAGCGCTCCATCCATCTGCCCCTGGTGTACTGCCCCACCGTTTATCAGAGGGAAGCATGAAATTATTAATCTCTTCCCCCTTCAAATCTAGTTTAAAGCCCTATCAATGAGCATTGCCAACTCCTGCCCTAGAATAATTTTCCCCCTCTGAGATAAGTGCATCTCGTTAGCTGCTCACACCTCTGGTGCCTTGCATACAGACCCATGACCATAAAATCCAAACTCCTGTCGACAACACAGAATCACAGTTGGAAGGAACCTTAAAGATCATCAAGTTCCAACTCCCCTGCGTGGGCAAGGGCCACCTTCCACTAGAACAGGCTGCTCAGAGCCCCATCCAACCTGCCCTTGAACACCTCCAGCAATGGAGCTCCCAGGACATCTCTGGGCAGCCTGTACCAGTGTCTCACCACCCTTACACTGAAGAATTTCTGCCTGATGTCTAACCTAAATCTTTCTTCTTTCAGCTTCAAACCATTACTCCTTGTCCTCTCACTGCAAGCCCCTGTAAAAAGACCTTCCTCAGCTTTCTTGTAGGCCCCCTTCAGGTACTGGAAGGCCACCCTGAGGTCCACCCAGAGCCTTCTCTTTTTCAGACTGAACAACCCCAACTCCGTCAGCCTGTCCTCATAGGAGAGATGCTCCTGCCCTCGGATCATTTTCATGGCCCTTCTCTGGACACGTTCCAACAGGTCCACATCTTTCTTGTGCTGGGAGCACCAGAGCTGGACACGGTATTCTAGGTGAGGTCTCACCAGGGCAGAGTAGAGGGGCAGAATCACCTCTCTCAATCTGCTGGCCACAACTTCTCTTGATGCAGCCCAGGATGGATTTGGCCTTCTGGGCTGCAACTGTACCTTGGTGGCTCATGTCCAGCTTTTGATTCACTAGTACCCCCAGGTCCTGTTCCACAGGACTGCTCTCAAGTGTGACCTCCCCAAGCCTGTATTCATATCTTGGGTTCCCTTGGCCCAGTTGCAGGACCCTCCATGTCTGATTGGATGCTGTGGACTTCCTCGTTCCTGCTGGAAGTGTGTCCCTGAGCTCAGAAACCCCCCTGTACTGCACACTCCAACCCCCACCTTGGGCTTACTTTAGTCACTGCTGCCACTGCCTTGCCAACTCTATTAATTCTTGGTGATTTGATTTCATCTGGCGTTGTCTAAGCTGCTCTGCAGTTGATTGAAGGCAGTATTGTCAAATAAAACTGCTTTATTGAGCATTGGTGCAGCCTTACATTGAGTATCATGTGTAGTTCTGGTCCTCAACATGTTAAAGTACTTGAATGTGTTCAGAGGAGGGCAACAAAGCAGAGAAAGAAGCTGGCAGGCGTGTCTTAGGAGGAGCAGCTATGGACTCCAGGTTTGTTTGGAGAGAAAGAGGCTGATAACCTCACAGCTTTCTACAGCTTCCTGAGGAGGGGAAGTGGAGAGGAAGGTGCTGATCTTCTCTCCCAGTTGCCAGCGTGCTTGGGAATGGCTCAAAAGCTGTGTCTATCAGGGGAGGTTTGGACTTGATGTGAATAAACTTCTCTTTACCAAGAGAGTGGTCAAACCCTGAAACAGGCTCCCTGGAGAGGTGGAAAATACCCCATGCCTGTCAGTGTTAAAGAGGCATTTGGACAGTGCCCTTAATGCCATGCTTTAACTTCTGCTCAACCCCGAAGCAGTCAGGCAGTTGGACTCAGTGATTGTTGTAGGTCCGTTCAACTGAAATACTCTATTCTGATTTGCACATTACAGAATTTGAGTGTGATTCAGGTTGAAAGGAACCTCAGGAGGTTATTGGATTAAATCGTAGAATCATATGTCCTGTTCTGAGCAGATTCAGTTAGATCAAGTTGCCCATAGTCATGTCCAGTCAAGTTTTTGAAACCTCCCAAGGTTGCAGTTTCACAGCATTTCTGGGCACCTTCTCCAGGGATTAACCTGTCCCTATGTGCAGCTCTTTTTCCTTGTATCTGGTCAGAATTTTCCTTGCTGCAACTACTCTGTTGCCCTTTTTCCTGCCACAGAACCACACTGAGAAGAGTGTGGCTGCAGCTCTGTAATGCCTCCCATGAAGACAGCAGTGAGGGCCCATTTTACTTTCTGTTATTGAGAGTGAGCAAGCCAGTTTCCCCAGCTTCTTCTCATGTTGTGTACTCCAGTCTCTTAACTGTGTTGGTAACACTTTGCAGGATTCAGTCCAATTTTCTATGCTTTGGGACTGAAAACTGGTCACAGGGCTCCATATCTAGCCTCACAAATGCTGACTAGAGGGGAATAATAATTTTTCTTGACCTGGTGGCTACTGCCTTGCTGTTACAGTTCAGCATGCAGTGGGACTTTTGCTGCAAGGGCAGCAGCCAGTGTCCCTGGGTCTTCTACACAGCTGCTTTATATTCAGCTGCTTTTCTATTCAGTTATATTCGTAGCTGCTTTGTGTTCCTCCAAGCCTGTATGGTGTCATGGGATTACTCCATCCCAGTGCCATAAATTAAGAAGAAGCAGTATGTCTCCCTGATACAATGAAGTACATGTAATTTAAATTGAATGTAATCTTAATTAAAATTTTAAAAATACATAGCTTTTACTAGCAGCTGACACTTGGAAACAGAAATCTATTGTAAGGTTAAAAGACAATTAAAATAATTTATATTAAAATAAAATGCTGACTGATAGTCCAAACTGTAGCCATTAAATCAGAGCGTGATCTGATTTAAAGCATTTTTGTCCCCTTGACAAGCATGTTAAGCACCCTTGTGTCACCTGTGTATGAGCAGAACCAACTTGTTAAACTAGTTAAGAAAAGCACTGAGGAGGCTGGATATAGTATTTCTGGGTTTTAGTAAGACTTTTGATACTGTCCCTTCTGGACAAGTTGTCCAGTGGTTGTAGAGAAGAGGGCTACATCTAGCTAGCAACTGGTCACCAGTGATGTTCCTCAGGTTTCAATTCTAAGGCCAGTTCTATTCAATGTATTTATCAACAGTATGGATGCAGGAGCTGCATGCAGTCTTAGCCATGGTTGAATTCAGGATCCCTAGGGTGGCAAAGAGGGAGCAAAGTAAGCTCACTGCCCTCCACTTCAAGAGAGCAGATTTTTGTTTCTTCAAGGATCTGCTTGGTAGGGCACTGTGGGGCAAAGCCCTGGAGGGGAGAGGAGCCCAGGAAAGCTGGTCCATATTCAAGGATCACTTCCTCCATGCCCAGGAGCTAAGTGTCCCAACAAAGAGGAAGGCAGGTAGGAGAGCCAGGAGGCCTGTATGGATGAGCAAGGAGCTTCTGGACACAGCTAAATGTAAAAACAACGTATACAGAGGGTGCAAGGTTCTGCACCTGGGTGCACTTGAGTTGGGGTAATCCACTGCACAGTTACAGGCTGGGTAGGGAATGGATTGACAACAGCCTTGAGGAGAAGGACCTGGGAGTGTTGGTCGATGTAAAGCTCAACATGAGCTGGCAATATGCACTTGCAACCCAGAAAGCAAACTATGTCCTGGGCTGCATCAGAGTAAGTGTGGACAGCAGGTCAGTTGGTAAATTCTGGAGTGGTATGAAATCCGTCTATATTTCTATGTATCTTCAGTTTAATTATAAATCTTTTTAGCATCCCTAAAGAGGTTTGGAATTCATCTGTGATTTCATTCCTTTTCTGGCTTCAAAGTTCTTGTTTGATGCATCTAGTTTGCTCACATAGTTTCTAGTAATGGTAAAAAAGGTTAAATAATTGTTTGAAATATGGATACTTAAACCAGTATTTTTAGTTTTCAGAGTTGCAACATAAAAACAGAATCTCAGCTATGTCTTGTCCAAGATGTGATTGGTTTATTTGTATTGATTCAGTAAAATAATTAACTGGCTGAAATTGGATCCTGGAATTTAACCCTGTGGGAGAAATTTTCAGAAGTGACTAGCAAGCCTTGATTCATTTATTGACTTTAGTAGTAGTTAATATCACACTGGCTTTGACAGTAGCAGAGCTAGATGTTTGAAAGTGTCTAATTCTGTGATTTTACAAGAGATTTATTAATATTTCTAGGATAAGCCACTACTTGCCAGCATTCATGAACAGAATTATTGAAGGGACAATAGTAAAGCTTGTTTTACTAGCTCTTAAGTGGAAAAAAAAGAAAAAAAAGAAGGTTTATTAATCAGTTTACCTATTTGTTCTCAGTAACAGGTGTGCAAGATGATAATGCAACAAGGGGAAGGATCAGAAAATTAAGTATTGGGCAGTATGACAATGATGTCCCTGGGCAGCCATCATATAACAGGTGTGGGTGGATGAAGTCTCCTGCTACTGACCAGGCTGTAAATCCAGGATCACCAGTTCCTGTAGGGGAGACCAAGCAGGTAAACCATGAAGAATTTTTAAAGAAAGATATTTTTTTTTTAAGTGAATGGCCAATAATGAGTCCCATGTTAATATTCAGTGTCCAAAAATCAGTGTTAAGCAATTGGGCAGTTGTGTTGTGGCAGTAACAAATTACTGTAGTTATCTCAGAAATGCAATTCGGCATTTGAGTTTGGACTGTTCTTGTCCCCTTTTGTGTGTTTGCATGTTTTCAGTGTTCTAAGATCTCTCTGCTGGAACAGTGGATAAGATTATATGAAACCTTCTATAATCTGATGAAATATGACCCACTGTGTTGTAGGGTCAATTGGGAATTTTCACACTGTAATTTTGCTTTTTTGTGCCCTTTCTAGATGGCTGTTGCATGTTACCAAGATGAAATAGATGGGAGAATCTTCTCCCCAACAAAAAATGGAAATGAAGCTGAGTCATTCACACCAGCTTTTCCCCTATCACCAGAGACATCGTATGGTAAGAAAAGTTCTACCTATTTTTGCTTATTTTATATTAAGGGCACTATAAACATTTTAGCTGTTACTGAAGAATAATTGTACTTTTCCTTATCTTCTAGTGAAAACACCTCCACTATACCATCAGCAGCTTCCCTCTAGCCAAAAGGTCAGCAGCTCGTTTGAGCTGTACAGAACCAGTCCTGGTAAGATACCTCTACTTCTTAAATTATTTGAAACTGACCTGTGTGTAAAGGCAACTAGCACAACAGTGGCTATTTCTTTATAAATAGGGTGTATACTTGGCGAATTTAGACAGATGCAAGTGGGAGAAATAGAGTTTAGCAGTGCTGTTTTAATAATCTCAAAAACAAGTGAACAATGAGGAATTATCCAAGAAAGATTTCATGCCATTAATTGCCAACAGTGAGTCCCATGATTGTGTTCAGCGTCCAAAATCAGTGTGGAGCAGTTAGGCAGTTGCATCATGGCAATAAGAGAAAATGCAATTCAGTGTTTGAGGCGTTCCTGCTCTTGTTCTCTGTATGTGTTTGCGGGGTTTCAGTGTTCCACAATCTCTCTGCTAGTATTTGATCAAAATAGTACTGTCAGGAGACTTGAGTGAGTTCCTTGTCATTTTTGGTAGGTTTTATCTTCATCTGAGGAAAGAGGTTGCCAGGCAAGTGAAGCTGACAATAGAGCTTGGCCATAGCAATGCTCAAGTCAAGGTGATCCTTGATCAAAGGATCAATGTTCTGGAGGGTTTTTTTGCTGCAATACGGTTTGCAAATGCGCAAGCATGGAAAAGTAATAGGTAATAATTTATTAAGTGTTTAAAGATTTAATGTGATCTATATCTGAATTCAATTATTAATAGATTATTCTTTGAGGCCTTAAATCTTTGCCGCTAAAAATAGCAGCAAAGCTATTGTTAGCTGCCACTTTTTCTGTGTGAAGTTATTTTGAAACACTAAATTTTTTTTTTAAAGCATTTCATGTGACTGCATCAAAGTGCTGAACATAGAAGGAACCCAACATGATCGATTTAAAACCTGAATAAAAATCACAGACTTTGATTTAAATTGTATGCATTGGAAAATGTCCAGTTAAGAGTTCATTTGTATATAGTTTTATTGCTTAGGCTATGACTATCTTCTCAGGCAGTATCTTGATAGTAGAGTTTCCAGTAAGCTTGACAGTGGTTTTTGGTGCAATAATAGTTAGAGTGTTGTGTTTTTAACTTGGAAAAAAGCCTTTCTGTTTAACTTGCAACATTGTTGTGGTTTAAGCCCAGCATGTGACTAAGCACAACACAGCTGCTCGCTCTCTTCCCTGCACCCTGGTGGGATGGAGAGAAGAAAACAAAAAAATCTTGTGAGTCGAGACAAGGACAGGGAGGCTTCACTCAGCAGTTACGGTCATGGGCAAAAGAGTCTTGAATTGAGGGGAAAAAAAATGTAATTTGTTATCAGTCAACTCAGAATAGGATAATGAGACATAAAATAAATTCTTAAAAACACATTCCCCCACCGCTCTCTTCTTCCTGGGCTGAAGTTACTTTGTTCCTGATTTCTCTACCTTTTCCACCCCCCAGTGGTGCAGGGGAATGGGGAATGAGGATTGTGCTGAGTTCATCTCACATTGCCTTTTCCTCCTCAGAGAGTAGGCTAATCACACTAACCCTCCTCCAGTGTGGAGTCCCTCCCTTGGGAGATAGTCCTCTATCAAATTTGCCAACATGAATCCCTTCCACAGTGTGCAGTTCTTCAGGAAAAGACTGCTCCAACGTTGGATTCCTGCAGAGTCACAGCCTTCTTCATGCATATCCACCTGCCCTAGGGCTTGGGATTGCCAGGCTACAGGTCCATATCTGCTCCACTGTGGGGCTGCAGGGTCATAGCTGCCGGCTCACCACAAGCTGCAGGGAAGTCTCTGCTCTGGGGCACCTCCTCTGCCTCCTTCCTCACCTTGGTAGCTGAGGTATTGCTCTCACCTCCTACTCCTCTCTTCCCTGCAGGTCTTTTAGCAGTTTCTTTTTCCCCTTCTTTATATATCTTAATTGTGGAGACAGTACCACAGTTACTGATTGCCCTGTCCTCAGCCAGAGACAAGTCCAACTTGGAGCTGGGGGAGCTTTAACCAGCTTCTCACAAGAGCTGCTATCAAAAACCCTGCCAACACACTAATTTAATTGTTATCAAAACCAAGTAACATCGCACAAAATAAAATTACCTTTAGAAATAAAACAATTTTCTGCATAGTTCATGGCATCTCTTTATGGCTAAGTTGCTTTCTCAACTATTAAAAGTTAGCCGTTAGATATCCTCCAGAGTGCAGCTTCAGCCCATCTGTTACAGGTTGCTTACATTGAGTTAATACAGTGAACACTTTGTTGTTAAATAGTTTCTATTGCTGTTGCTAAGCATTAGGAATTGTCTTGAAAAATGTAGTGGCTTTCAGAGTATTTTTCTGATTTTGTTGATGTTTCTTCTGCTTAAATCCAAATGCTGTCATCTCTCAAGTGCTGGGTTTGATACTCAGTTAATGGAACACTGACAATAACCATGCTAGCTTAGACCTAAGCAGGTAACTCTTCTTTTGAATGCCCCTGCAAAAATGATGCTCAAGGTGTACTGACTGCTACAGGTCAAGTGCTCTGCTCCCTATGGCTTTGCTTTTAGCCATGAGCATAATGTACTTTGACACTTAAGATTAAAGGCATATGAGTTGGGTGAACTGGAAAACATGCAATGCACCATTAGTGAGCACCTTTAAGGAATGTTAGTTGGGTAATTTTCCTGCCAGAGTACAGAAACTTCTATTGCCAGAAGCAATTGCTAGAATCCTACTAAAAATATTTTTTCTTTTCTCTTTTCCCTTCACTATTCTACTTTATATATTGCTTTTATCTACAGTGAGTATCTATTTACTGTATTTACTTGCTTCTCTCTTTTGACTTTGGCAAGAAGTGAAAAAGACCTCTTGTCATTACTTTTGCTACCAATAGCTAATTAATGGCCAGAGCAAGAGTGTTGTGTCTGTGATTGAGACTGCTCTAATACACATGTCACAAAGGTAACCCTAACAGTATGCACTTTGCAATAATTATGGTAGACCCAGTTTTTAATACTTTCCTTGGCAGCCTTGCTCTTTTAAACTTTCAAGATTTTTGTTTTGGTAGAAGTTGGGAAAACATACTGATTTCGCTAGAGATTTTCAAAACATGGAAACCTTTAGAGTCATGGACTCTGAAGCTTTAATTTCTGCCATTAAGATATTTCCCCTTTTGTCTCATTGAATTCAAAATTGTTTTGCTCTGCATCTCAACCTTGCTGCTTGTCTGAATTCCAAGTTAGTAGTGAGGATGCTTTAACATCTGGCTACCAATTATCTAGATATATTACAGTCTTATTTTCTTTCCACTTCCTTGTAGAGAATTGCTTTCACTGTAGTTAGCCCTTATCATATCAAGGGAGATCTACTGTGCTTTTAGGAAAGTATAAAAGTATACATTTTAAAATACATGGTTTTGTGTATCCTATGTTAAAGAGTTACAATGACATCCAGTCTTTATGTATATAAAATTATAAAATTATCCGTTAGTTTTATAAGTTATTCTTGTTGTAAACTGTGTCCCTTTATCTTGAAGTAATCTAATTATGATTCTTAAACTGTTCATTGAAGGTCACTATCTTCACTGAAGTCTGACAAAACCCTGTATAAAATTATGCTCCGTTAGCCCTAAAAATCTTAATTTTCTTTCCAGGTGAAACCATCTTGTTAGTCCAGTGGTGTTATGTATCTGTCTCCCTTTCATTAGCTATGCCCTACCTTTTCTTCCTCCCCATACATTTCTTTAAGATGCCCTGCCTGCACCAGATGGAAAGAACAGGATTACTTTCCAGAGCCTTGCTATTTCTTGGATAGGAGCAAGTTTAATCTCCCTCAGTCTGTGTTTAGGCATGCAGTCCTTTCCTGTCAGCACTGCTGCTCAAGTGATCACTTGCTGCACAGTTTCATTGCTCTTTTCCTCACTTTACATAGATTATAAGTAATACAGATGCAATGGAGTTCATTCTGCATTGTCTTCTGTAAGACACCTTGCTTCTTATGACAAACTTGAGCAGTCTATAAATTGACTAATTTTATAAATACCCCACAAAAAAGCAGGCTCCAGATAGAACCCAGATACAGGTTTTTGAGTAGTAACACAATAGCCATTGTATATCCCATGGGTCCCACGCATCAGTGAAGGAACAGAAGCACTATTTATAGGCCATTTTGAAGCTCATAAAGGCTCTCTTGTTTCAGACAGCATACAGCTAATTGAAGTCCCTTTGTATATAGAAGTAACAAAACCCCCCTAACAAGCTCTTTTCCAGAGGACTGAACTCTGGCTAACCACCCCTGCCACTCCACCCATCAGGATGGATGTGAGGAGCTGCCCCTTCCTCAGCTCTGGCTATAGCATAGAGCTCTGCAGAAAATCTGTATTCAGAAATAGATGCTGTTGACAGCAGAAGGCAAGGATCTGTGGAATGAGGGGAGATTATCCATAATCCTTTATCCATGTACCGACAAAGAGAAGACATGATGTCCTGTTTTTCTGTCTTTTCTGAAGAGCCTAAGTATACGTGTGTAGTTCAAGCCATGCATATGGTGGAGTGATAGCACTGCTGCTGGTTTGAGGAATGTAGGAGCCTTCAAGCATGTGTAAAGCCTTGCCTTTCCACACTCACCATGGAACTTAGCCTAGATACTGTACTCAAAGCTTGTGTTATGCTCCACGAGCTACATTTTTTCTAAAAAAGAGACAAAAGGTCATCTTTTCTCCTTATGCTGTTATGAAACTCTTCAAGATCAGAAACTGGCTTATTTCTACATTTTTTCTTGTACAGACTCTTTTTTTATATCTGACAGAAACATTTTAATCCTGAATTCCCCCCATTAACTAACATAGGCTTACTCTGCTACATCACCCAGTAGAGTGATGAGTGTTTCATAAATCTCTCAAAAGGCAAAACCACAACTGGGCAGATACCCTCATTACTGCATAGTTCTATTACTGATTATAATTTTATACTGTTTAAATTTCATAGTATGATTCCAGGATTATATTTTCTTCCAGTCACTGAGTTGCTAGGGGAATAAAATACACTACTAAATTGTTCAATAAAAATAGGTAAAGTTCTGAACTGAAAACATT